GAACTCTGCGGCTACTTCTCTAGGTTTGCTCATGCGTCTCATTTGCCGCAGATATCTGGTTGATGTGTGGCTTCGCGGCGACGTGCTCAGTATTATACTCGCCCCTAGATCTTGTCTCATTGAGTGATTGTTTGCAGTACTTGGCCACCTTAGCTAATATTGTCTAGGCGGTCCTTCTTTGCCTCTTCCCCGATACTTCGGACTTTGGCGGGGTTAAATTTAGGAGCCAAGTTGTCTGGATCGCTCGCGTCTCCAGCCTGTCGAGGTCTCTTGTAGAGCCTGTCTGATCCGCATCTGATTTACTTCTCTTAACTTACACCACTGCAAACAGGGACACGCTTTCTGAGTATCCCGCTTTCGCCGTATGGTCTATACCAAGATTAGCATTGTCCCAGGACTGACCCCACTGTGGGAACCGCGTCACAGGCGACCCACTGTGATACCTCTGTCACGTACCATGATCTCGCTCTGTTGCCTCCCCTGTTAGGTATTCTTGATCCATTTGCAGTGCCCTTCCTGTTAGGTGCCTGATCCTCTTGCATTTCATTTATAATTCTTGTAAGGAACTGTATCGCTCGCAAGGCCTATCTTGATCTGTCAAAAAATGCGCAGTCAACCCACCCACCTCCCTTCATATCTCGCTTGAACTTCAGTACCTTGTCATAGAAACTCCAGTTAGGTTTGTGACACAGGATTAGCCTTCCATGAATCCATGTGGATGTCGCATTTTATTACCTTTGTTCCGTTCAGGTGCTCACTACTCTCTCCTGATATATCTTCTCCATGACTTTGCATACTGTACAACGTCCGTGACACTGATGTTCTATAGTTTAAGTGCTTCATTTCTGTTCCTTTTCTCTAATAGATGGGGATACATTAGCTCGTCTCCATGCCAGTGTTCAAGGGGATATGTTGAGATTGTGGTTGGAGGGGACACACACTGTTCTCTCGCGCCCTTCTATAAGGACCCACAAGAGATGTCCGTCCAACCGCCTTTGAGGTTTCAAGGTCACTTATGAGCTGCTTCACCTTCTCGGTTGTGTGTATTTCATCCACACTTGTTGGTATATCCCTTGTGGGTGTACCCCTCTGTTTTGTCTTCCCCGTATCCTTCTGCCTCCACTGTAAATTACTTCCGAAATCTTGTTGAGCTCCCTCACTACTACATGGTCGTTTTTTTGTGTGCTCCTTCACCTTTCTCAGCCTGATTACCTGGTCCTGACGTTGTTCCTCCCAGTTGTTGGTGGCTGTTAAAGCAGTTTCATGTCTGATCTTGACTTTTCAGTTGGCTGTCGTTTTGTATGCCTGCTGGGCTACTTCCACTCGCTTATTATACGAATGTGCATACTCGTTTCTGCATCTTCGACTACTCTCTTTTGGCTTTTGTCCTTGAGTGCCTTTTGACGAGCTTCTTGTCTGTACATTTTCTCCATCTCTAGAGCGTATACGATGAGTGAGTATTCCCACGTTTCCCTACACTTCGGGTAAACAAGGGGCTCGTTCGTGGTCTATTGCCAAATATCTTTTTGTGTTAATTCTCTGTTACCCTTGGGAACGAAAGCCTTTCCTCTGCCTACTTGCATTTTGTTGTTACGATCAGTCCATTTCATTTACTGACTTTTCATACCAGCTCTTTCCCAATAGACCTCCTGCAGGGAAGGTCCTTCCTATTACTTGGGTAACCCCCCACTTTTATGTTTGGCTTTTTCCTTATCCTACTCTGTTACCCTCGTCAACTTGAGCTCTACGATGTATTCAAAGCTCAGATCCCACGTGGCTCACTAGCTCCAACGGGTGCCTTTCATATGTGATGTCTCGATGTCTGAGTCGCTACACCTCAGGGTGAAACACAAGGACCAGTCTTGCTGGTTCATCCTCACCCTCTCCTCTCTTGGTAGTGTCCCCTACGTGTTCGTGATGAGGTTTTCCAGTACACATCCATCATCTTGGCTCTTCATTTTTGGGACCATCATGTGGCTTACAGGTTTTCCCCAATCAATCTCCCTGTAGTAAAATCACCCATAACCAGTAGCTTTGCTCTCGAGTGAGCTCTTCTTCCCACCTCACTACGGGGTGTCCACCATTGTTTTTTGGGTGTGGTGTGTGTGTGTTGTGTGGTGTGTGTGGGTGTGTGTGTGGTGGTGTGTGTGTGTTGTGTTGTGTGTGTGTGTTGTGTGTGTACTCGCCTAATTGTGGTTACAGGGGTCAGACTTGGCCCTGGCCCCCCCTTTTCACTGATCGCTACTAGGCCTCTCCCCTCTTCTTCCTGAGCTTTGCCATACCTCTTCTCAAAACTATGTATGGTTCCTCCCTCCACTACTTCCTAGCTAGGCTTTTTCCACCCCTGAGACTCTGAAGAAATACTTCCTAACGCCCGTGACTCGTCTGAGTCTTCACTTCCATTTTGACCCCTTGTTTCTGTTCCCCTCTCTGGAACATCCTACTCTTCCACCTTGTCTTTTCCCCGCATTTTTGTATGTCTTACATTCTCCCCTGACCCTTCGGTCTTCCAGTGTCGTCATCCCAATTTCCCTAAAAACCTTTCCTCGTAGACTTTCCCCCCTGACTCTGGACACCTTGTTGAAAACCTTTGTACTTTCTCTAACTTCTGACGGCTTGACCAGGTGTGGTTCCAACTGTGCGCTACTCCAATGGGCCTGACATACACAGTGTACATGTTTTGAACGTTTTCCTTTTTAAGGTAGGGAAGCTATTCTCGGGTTTGCCAGGGGCCCTTTGCTGCACAGTTATTTGGTTAGTTGCCTCCGGTGACGTGCTCGGGTTAGGTGCCCCAAGGTCTTTCCCCCCCGAGTGAGGTCTGATCTTTGTCCACCTAGCCATACTGTCTCGGTCTTCTTTTTTCCCCTCCCCCCAACTTTATGACTTTGCATTTTTGGGAGGGTTGAATTCGAGAAGCCAGTTCTGGACCCCATTCCGCCTGTCCAAGTCCTTTGCATCCTGCCTCATCCTCATCTATTTAATTCTTCTCATCACTTAAAAATCTCTGCGAATAGGGACACTTCAAGGCAATTCCCCCCACAGTCGTTCGCATAATCAAAAATAGCACGGTCCTAAACGCCCCCTGTGGGACCCCGCTCGCAACGCCCACTGTGACACCTCTTCACGAAACCAACTTTTCTGCCTCCCTTCAGGTTTTTCCCTGATCCGGGCAGTGCCCTCCCTTTTATCCCTGATCCTCCACTTCTGCACTAATCTCTTGTGGGGAACTGTGTCAAAGGCCTTCCCTGCAGTCTAGGAAAACGCAATCAACCCACCCCCTCTCCGTCTTACTTTCTTTTACCTTGTCATAAAACCCGGGATTTTTTGGACACGGGAAATTTCCTTCATGTACCCATGCGGGGTTTTTCTTTTTAAAAAAATCTTGGTCCGTTCCAGGTTCCACCACTCCCTCCTATAATTTTCTCCTTGACTTTGCACCAATACAGTCGAGACACGGGCGTATTTAGTGCCTCATTTTTTTTTTCCTTTCTTAAATAGGGGACTACATTTGCTGTTTTTCCTTTTCTCAGTAGTTGCCCAGTTTAAAGGGAGTGTTGAAGATTGTGGTTAGGGGACGCACATATTTTCTGCTCCTTTCTCAAGGCCCCAGGGGGAAATGCCCGGGCCCCACCCCCCTTTGAGGTATCAAGGCACTTAGCAGCTTCCACCTCCTCCTGGGTTTTTTTCGTATGCATCCAACACTTTTTGGTATATTCCCTCTTGGTGTTCCCTTTTTTTTCCCACACCCTTCCGTCTATTTAAAAAAAACTTTTTTAAATCCCTGTTTAGTCCTCACATACCTTCTGACATTTTTTTGTGAGTTCCCCCCTTCTGCCCAATCTGATCACCTGGTCTTGACTGTTTTTCCCTCCTGATTGGCTATACAAAAATTTGGGGTCAGTCTTGTTTTTCCCGTTTCTATGTCTTTTTTCAACTTCGTGGGCCCCCTCCTTACCTGTGCATACTCGTTCCGGGCCTGCGACTGATCCCCTTTTTTTCGTGTGTTCTCTGCCTTCTTATTTTTTCTATTCTCTTTCATTGTTTTTTTTTTGCCTCCTTACACCGCGGGAAACCAGGGGCCGTTCTGGTCTTCCCATTGTTCGTTGCCCTTGGGAATAAACCTTTCCACGCCTCCTTGCTTTTTTTGTACAATTCCATCTTTTTTCTTTTACTGTCTTTCCTGTCATTTCTGTCCCACGGAACCTCCTGCAGGAATTTCCCCTCAACCTTGATCCCCTCTTTTTATCGGGGTTTTCCCCCATTCAACCCTTTTTATCTCCCCACTTGCAACTCTACATGAAATCAAAGCACAGAACCACGGGGTCCCAGCTCCTGGGGGGGACTCATACATATTCCTCAATGTCTGAACTGCCCAGGGTAAACCCAAAAAGGTCCAATTTTCTGGTTCAATCCCCCCCTCTCACTCGGGAGTGTCCTTTAACTGTTGGTGCATGGGGTTTTTCCAGCACCACGTGTGTGTGTAAAAAGAACGAAGATTAGGGAACGAGTCTCAAATGAAATTTTATATTGAAACTTCGGGGTTTTTTTCTTTTCCTCTCACGAGGGGGGTTTTTTTAAATGAATTAATATATTCAACAGACGGGGGTTTTATGGGGTGCACTTTTGTATTTGCGAATGCAGATGTCTACCTTTTAAAGGGAAAGCTGCGGGTTTTTTAATTGTATAACTCAAACATCTCGGTTTAATCAATTGGAATATCTTTTTTTAAACATTATTTGACGAACAAATAATTTAAAAAAACTTAACAAGCGATGTACAAAAAATAAACAACTTGAAAATCTCTGCAAGGCCCGGAGCGTTTTTTGAATCTGGAGGGTATGACTGGACTAACTAATCTGAAAAGGGGAAGAGGCGTCGCCGGTTGCCCCTAAAATTTCAATTCCGACATAATCGCAGTGACCAGGGGGAACGCAGAGCGGGGCGCATTGGGGTTCCCCAGGCTCTCGAGACTCTCTTTTGGGCGGTGGGTCAGGAACCCCCCGAAGCCCCCCACCTCGGTGGAAGCAGAGGCCCCCCCGGACACTCAACACGCCATCTCCCAGTGACGGGTAGTACTAAAAAAAGGCACTTCTTCTTTGCTATTCAGGGGACATCAAGGGGGTTTGGCCATTCCCTTTTATCATACTCTTTTGACCCTTAAAAAGGTACTGTTGGGAAACCGCAAAAGGGAAATATATCATTTTTTATCATACGTAAACCAAAAGGGAACCACTACTTTTTTGGGGCTGCCTTTCCCGGGCCATCGTTTTTCAGCCGCACCCAGATAATGGTCCAGGGGTACAGCAAAAATTTTCTAATTATTTCCATGAGGTATGAAATTTTCCGCCACGTATTAGGGGAGTTGTGAATTGTTCTACCACAGTATTTTTGGGGGGATAATTGTTCCAGCCCCCGTATTTTGGATCTACCTGGATTTTACCTGGAGGGTATTCCGGGGATCAACGCCCCCCCGGGGCCCGGGCCACCCAGGCCCCTTTCCCTTGGATCAGGGCCCCGATCAACAAGGCATTACTGTGGGCCCCACGCAATCCAACGTACGAACCACAGCCCGGCTGATCCGGCACCGTCTTTAGGTATCTGTCTAGCTCCCTCTTGAAGACAACCAGGGGTCTTCCCGTAATGCCCCTTATTGCTGGTAGGAGGCTGTTGAACAGTGTTGGACCCCGGTCACTTATTGTGTTTTCTCTTAGTATACCAGTGACGCCCCTACTTTTTCACTGGGGGTATGTTTCATCGCCTGCCAAGTCTTTTGCTTTCGTATGGAGTGATTGCTGTGTGCATATTAGGGACCAGTCCCTCCAGAATCTTCCAGGTGTAAATTATGATACATCTCTCTCGCCTGCGCTCTAGTGAGTACAAGTCAAGTGCTTCCAGGCGTTCCCAGTAGTTAAGGTGTTTGATGGAACTTATACGTGCAGTAAAGGTTCTCTCTACATTCTCTAGTTCTGCAATTTCACTTGCCTTGAATGAGGATGTCAATGTACAGCAGTATTCCAGCCTAGAAAGAATAAGTGATTTAGAAAGGATCATCATTGGCTTAGCATCTCTTGTCTTGAATGTTCTCATTATCCATCCTATCAGTTTCCTAGCAGATGTGATAGTGGCATTGTTGTGGTCCTTGAAGGTGAGGTCTTCGGACATTACCACACCCAGGTCCTTCACATTACTTTTCCGCTCTATTCTGTGATTGGAGTTTGAGTTATGAATTGTTCCAGCCACTGTATTTTGGGTGAGTTATAAATTGTTCCAACCACTGTATTTTGGGTAAATTATGAATTGTTCCAGCCACTGTCAGGACGGGTCCTGGTCCAGGTCTTCTTGCGGTGACTCGGCAGTCGCTTCCGAAGGAGTGTCATAGTCGGTATAAGTTATGTACCGTTTACAGCCGTATGGCGAGGGCAGGCCTATGACAAAGGCATGGTGAGTCTTCTGCAGGTCAAGTGGAAGCGGTACTCCACTGGACCTTTGGCGGGGGCAGCCCTGTGGCAATGGCACGGTGAACTGTCTTTGTACCATTTGCAGCCCAATGGCGGGGGCACGTTGAGTCTTTCAACTCAGTTGAGCCATCCCTGGCACTCGCGCTGCTGCCTGAGAACGACTCCGGAGATTCTCTGGAGGCTTGTCATTCATTCATTCATTCATTCATTAGAGGTTTGCCGGTACTTCCGGCCCGGGTCTTCTCCATATGGTGACCCGGCTGTGGCCCCCGGTTGGGGGTGTCGTTCATCATCTTTCTTCTGTCTTCTTTCTTGGGCTCTCCGGCTGGAGGGTAACATCTTCTCTCTTGCGGCGACTCCCCGGAGGGGAGTGTCTTCTCGCTTCTCATCTTCATCAGCAGGCGTCCACTTGGGCCGAACATCTAACGTCTGACAGAAGTCTGACTGTAATGTGATTTATTTATTTCACAAATAACGCTATTTTCTAATTTTGGGGGGTTATCCTGGATTACGTCCTAAGAAAATGCTCACAATTATAAATAAATCACGTGTTTAATACAAAACATTGTGGAAATTAAAACTAGGATGTCTAAGAACCATTGGATACGTAGTTTATGTAGCCGGGATAAACCTCACATGGGAGACAAATACTCACAGGTTGACTGAACTCCTGTCGATTATGTATGATGAGGCTTTAGCTTTGATAAATCATAAAATAAATGTACAATAACTATTTTTTAAAGCGTTGGACGGGTAAGCCAGATGACCAAACACTCCAGCTGAGGGTCATCATACGACTAACACCCGCGTCAGGAAACACTTTTTCTGTTTTCTGACGAACCTACCTTACCTAACCTAATAAATCGGTCTTTACTTCCATCATTTCTAAATCTAACTATCCTATTTTGAAACATTTGTTAAGAGTCCTTGATTTTTTTCCTCATCTAAATCAGTGTGTGTCCACTCTATTCCGTTACATCGGGTTGCACTTAATGCTTCGCCCTGTAAGAGAATGTAGCTTCATTAATCTTATGTTTTTTAAGAAAAAGAAATATACTGAACTAAATTTTTGCCATCATCTGCATGTTTTCAGAATAATTAATGTCCATTACTTAGCATGGTTGCTAAGAGAATATAATCCAGAGGAAGTTTTATCTGGTCGATGTCGTGTATTCTTCTCCACACCACCACCATGAAGATCTAACTTTTTTTTATTGGAATCAGATATTACGAAATATTTGTTTTACTAAACTTATTATGAGTTGGTGCTGGCGGCTCGATCCTGTGTCCATTAATAAAGAGAGAGACACGCAACCGAATTGATGTGAACTTGGCTGCGAGAGAAGTATTGGTTCAGTTACTGACTGTGGATCGATCCTCCACTACTTCCACTCGATGACACATAAGGGTTAATTAATCGCCTCACTTAAATATACATGAAGGATAATATCACGTTTGGGTTCTTATAACGAGGTGTCGCTGGAAGACAGTTGTCCAAAAAAAAAAAATTAAAATTTTGCCTTGATAAAATGTTTTTGTCATTAACTTCATCCAGTCACTGCATAGTGCTGCTGGTGCTTCTTCTTTTTCTTCTTCTTTTCTTCTTGTGGTGGTGGTTCCAAAGACATCGTCAGGTATTTGTCATCATCAGAGTAATAACACAAGCATCGCCTAATGCTTT